CCTTTAACTTATTGACATAAACATCCTTAAACTATACTTCTCAAAACTGTAATGAAAATAACTTCYCTTTTCGCACAAGAGCCATATGTATATTGTAGTTTTACTTATTTGCTTCGCCTTTATAAAACGTGTTTCCTGAAAATGAATAATTTATTTCCAAAGGACCAAGTATACATATAAAACAAAATTTCATTCTGATGCCCCCAGCTTTAAATTTGTTCTTTCTGTTCTCACATAAAAGGCAGGACTATTTTTATAAAGACAGACAAACTCTGTTTCCATTTTAATTTTGTACATTATATTTGAAAAATAGAATATCCCCTAGTATTTTAAGAATTTATCCAGATTCTGCTTTATSTTATGTTTCAAGTCTGTGAAGCATATTCTAAAGTAATAATCATAACACTTAAACTCAACTTACTCACATAACATTTCTGTTGAAGTGGGCATTACGTATCATATGYACTGCAACATTCCTGACATGTAGATGCAAGTAATACTTTAAAACAAAACTCCTAGTTTTTCTTCCATTCCTTTCCTTAATTGAGAAGTTATGAATATATCTTGCCTCTTCTCACAAATGAAAATGTGTTTGAGTGCAATTAATCTACCCTATTAGTTCTACTAAACATCTGCTATATTTGTTAAACACTTCAAAATTCTATTCTGAACCAGTTAATTCTAAGTAATTTCTCAGTTAAATATTTACATAGGYTTCCATGATGATAAGCCCTAGTTTGTGTTAAATAATCAGCAGATTGTCCAGAGGGAGTTAAGTGAAATGCAATACATTACAATAGCTATCCATTGGAAATTAAAAGGGTTTTGCTAGACTATTTTTTTCATATTTTTATCCTAGACAAAAGAAGTAACAGCTTTATGCAGTCTATTCTTTAACATTTTTAATATCCAGAATTCCACTGGGGGGAAAAATCAATGAATGCCTTTATAGAAATATGCAGATGCTGGGCTGGGGTTGTAGCTCAGTGGTTGAGTGCTCGCCTCATATGTGTGAGGCACTGGGTTCAATCCTCACCACCACATTCAAAAAGAAACAAATAAAACAAAGATAGTATGTCCATCTACAAAAAGAAAAATTAAACAACAACAACAAAAAAGAAATATGGAGATGCTTACATCATGGAAATACTAAATATGCTCTCAAACGTCTCTTTCATAAAGGTGACAGATTGCATGTTTGTAAAATTTTAGAAATAGCCCAATTTATAGTAATTTTTAGAGTAGACTAGATAGATGGAAAACATAGAAAAATGGATTAGGTATTCTTCGGACACAGTAAGTGGAAAATAAAATGCACAGATTATACAAATGTGCTATATTACCAAGATATTTAAGAATATGACTCTCTGGAAAAATTCTATAAATCTATAAAATTTTAGATAATGGTCAAAGATCTCAATAAGTTTCATAAGAGAGAGGAAGTTATAGTTGATAAATGATTCATTCTTAAATAAACAAAAGGCAATCCTAGATATCAGMGAAAGGAATAGTTAGAATGAGGATGACAGATAAGACTTGTTATTGAAGTCCAGGTTATGAGAATAAGAATAATTATATAGAGAGCAGAGCCCTATTCCCTAGCACCTATACCCAGTATTGCTCTCTCTAGTCCAGTGTTTTTTTTTTCCTCTATGGCCGAATCTACTCAATGTTTATTGAGCCTCTTCTATAAATGAGGTAGATGATAGAATGAAAAAGAGCTTCTGTCCTTGAGAACTTATGGACAACTAAAAAGATGAGTAGAGCACACACACAATGGCATTTATAAAGCCAGGGTAGGAAAAAAAGAGTGAAAGGGGTTCTTCTAAGCCCTTCCCATTTATCCTAAGCTACAGCTTACCTGGGGCTTAGGTTATTTCTGTAGTTTTCATAGTGATAATAAAATAGAAAAATTAATTAGTTATCCCCAATTATAATTTCTTAGTCTGGGAAAAATATTATTTTGGTATAGATGATTAAACTTTTAGTAATGTTAATACAAAAATCATTTTTCTTTGTAAATATRAACTGATGTTTAATAAAGACAGTTGGATAATATTATAAACATCATGGTAACATAGCTAGATTTAAAAACACATCATGGAAACAATGTATCATGGATAATTCAAATAGTAAATGATATGTTAGAGATTAAAAAGAACTTAACTGATTTTTCATCATACTGCTGGCTGGGTCATTGACCTAGCAAAGGTGAAGGGAGATTCAGAGTTGTGAACCTTCAGGAGTCAGGCTAGTGATTTGTGGATGAGATTTGGTACCATATTTTACTCCTTAGACTTTGCACACAGAAATATAGGAGAATAAATATTTTAATCTGTTGAATACATTCCAAATAAAATTTGATATTCTAGTAYTGTATAGACTTTTGCTATATAATTATCCCAACTGCTAAAGGGAATAGATTTCAATTATATTTCTCAGAATTAAGTATATTCCCTTGATGACATTTGCTGTGTGGATGCTTTAGTAACTCATGTTTAAAAACACTGAAAGAGCTGTCAGCATTTGGATGAACATCAAAGATGTTATATATTAGTTTGGCTATTCACGAAATGATAATAGTTTTTCCAAGGGTAAGAGGGAAGAGTTTAATCTAGAGCCAAGATTGTGTCAGTCTTATAAAAACTGACACAACTCTTTGTAATTATATTGTAATTAATACTTGGTATATTAAGATTTTAACATTGGTTCTTCTTAGAAACATTAGAAATTTTCCATCCTAAGTTGGCCTAATCAGCCAACTTTCCTTGGATACATATCTTTCAGCAGGTGATTTTTTTTTTTTAACTGCAGACGAAACTGATTACCTTTTCATCTCTTGGTTTTTATTACTGCCTAAGTCAATCAAATAAAGGCTTCATGTGCTTCTGGAACCCTAAATTGTTTCAAAAACAGATAAAAGAAGTGGAAGTGATAAATACTTTAATTTCATTCATCTACCATAGAGAAGAGTCAGAAAGATTTGGGGGAACATCGAGAATTGGTGATAAGTAATTTTTTGTACTAATGCTTTTTGAACATTAGTTATAATAATTTATATTGAATTCTGATGATTTTAATCAAATGATAGCTCTATAAATGAAAAAATTTTAAACTATCAAATTTTCTATTTAAAATAAAATTAGATGATAAAATTATGCATGTATGACATTTAGTTTTTATGAAATAATTAAAAAATGAATAGGTACATAATAAATAGTTATGGGTCACCCAAATATATCTGGTGTTTTAGTTTAAACATAGTCATGACTTTAAAAGTAAATCTTAGGGGACTGGAAGTGTAACTCATTGGTAGTGCTAGTGCTTTTTAATGTGTAAGGCCCTGATTTCAACCCCAAGGATACGAAAAGAAAAGAAACAATTGTTTATTTTTTAAAATAAGTAACAAGAGAATGCTTTTTCTGGAATTAGCGTGAATCCAGTTTCTTTGAATAAGTACCATAATAGGTTTCATTATAAGTATTTTGAGATTCTTTGAGGTCTTCAACCAAAAACTTCTATTAGCGTGCACTGATTTCCCAGTATGGATTGTTTTCATTCAACCATTAATAAGCTCATACCATCATGTATAAAGACACAGTTTCTACCTATTGTGGCTTAGATCTGGTGAGAGAAAAAAATCATTACATGAACAATCATTTAAATGAATTTGTGATAGACACTTTAAGACAAGTACAAGACACTCTAAGACTGGAATAGGCAACTCATGTGGAGACTCAGGGAAGGTGAAGTATTATTTCCTTACCACCAGTTTGGCTGTAATGTAGAGATTATTAGAAAGTTCTTCAGATAAGCAAAAGTGACGAGGAAACAGTAGGAAYGGAGAGAAATGGATCCAAGTATACTTTGGAGATAAAAATCAACCAGACTTGGTAACTAGATGTCAGGGGAAGTTTGAGAGAGAAGAGCATAGACTATGAGTTCTAAATATCTAGGAGGAAAGAGCTAGGAGGGTATCATATGGATTTATTGAGGTGGGGAATGCTGGAATTACAGTTCAGCTTTGGAGGGAGGGTCCTGAGTTCAGAGTTCAATGTACTAAATTTCAGATGCCTGTGAGATAGCCAAGTGGATATGTCAAGCAGGCAACTGCACTTTGGATTTATATGTAGCCCAGAGACAAACTGAGGCTATAAATGTAAGAATAATGATTCCTGATCTACAGAATCTGAAGCCCACAAGCATATGAGATCATGGAGAGAACATGTGAACTGAGAGGAAAATGAGCCTAAAATCACCCAGATGTAAATTACACTTGCAGGTCAACAAAAGGAGGAAGCAGCAGAAAAGACTCAGAAGCATTAATAACTTGGAGATTTAAAAAACTGCAATATCATTTTGAGTTTCAGATTGAATAGGGATTCCTGTRTAATGTAAATATCTAAAAATCAAGAGATTTGACTTCCAACACCTTGGATTTCCTGGGACTTTTTTATGATCTAGAAAAAGATAATTTTTTCTATCACTTGACAATATTATGAGAAAGCATTAAATGTCTATGATACTAAAAGTTAAATATTATAAATAGACATGTTTGAATCAAATGTCATAGTCATGTGTTTTCTTAGAAGATACAAAGCTATTCTCCACCACCAAAAATGTTTTATTTATGAAGTTTAAATATATAAAGAGGTAATTTTTTTCTTCCAGCTTGCAGATACTGTTACCTTGTATTTATGGTTGTTTGGTGAAATGTAGTTCCAATTGTATGGGATGTTTTAACTGGGAGTGAATGTTCCATCTCAGACCTGGTTTGGAACTTCCTTTTATTCTTTTCTGGAGTTAGCTACAAAGATAAACCAGCCAGTGAGAGGCAATTCATAATTATTAATACATTGCATAATTTAACCTTAGAAGAGCTCAAATCACTTAAAAATTTCTTTGTTTGGATGAATGAAATGTGTATTAATTTTCACAACATTCTTTGTGAGACAGGTGTGCTCAAATCTGTATCAACATGTGTCTTCTTTCCCTTACAGGGTTCCATAGGGATGCAAGGCCCCCAAGGTCCACCTGGAAAAGAAGGTCAAAGGGTAAGTACACTTGGAACAGCTGGTAGGCATTGCTAGCTCAAGGGATACTTATTTCTGCATACTAAAAGAAATACAAAATATAGCAAGCAGATGGTCATATAGAGAGTATCAACTACCCAAAGGCTGAAATTTAAGATTAGAGATTTTGACAGAGGTTTTACTTCAGGAAAAGTAAAGCACCACATGTAAAAAGGTAATTATTTGGTTAAAATGAAGTAGCCATAATTTGATCTAGAGCACTTTGGTCATAATTTCTGTTAAGTTAATCAATGTCATAGTGGAAGTCCAGCCCATTCATGAATTCTATAAAAACTGTGGCTATTAACCACATTGTTTAGCCAAATTTAATTATTGATACTAGTAACTCTTTGTTGCTTTCCTTTCATTGTTTCATTTATGCCTTTAACTGAAGTAAAAGAGTACATGAATACATTAKAAGTGCAATTGGAAGTATATCAATGACTTTCTATCTAGTCCATTCTCCTCATTCACCAGCAAAAGGTAGCTCTGCTGTGTTGCTGCAGCTGGCTTTCTTGTGGCTTACTATTGTTACTACCATTTTCAAATCAGTTTGAAATTTCAAAACATTTGTATAGGCTTTCTCATTTGACTACTTATGAAAAGTCTGTGCAAAATAGAACTGGTACTATTCTAAGGTTAAGGACTTCTGTAACCTTAGAGATGAGGATTCTGTGACTTGGGGGTTTAGATGACTTGTTTAAACTTGGACTTCTAATTCTGAATCCTATGTTTTCTTTTAGTGTCCCAGTATATTAACCCCAAATCCATTCTTAAGTCATTCTCATTTATTATTCCCTGTTCTGTCCTGTTGTAAAAAGTCTGTTTCCTCAAGTACTWCAGAGTCCTTCAAATATTTGAGGGCTAATAACTGTATTTTATTAAGGTTTACCATTTTTTAAGCTAATAAAATCCCAATTCTCTTAACTCTTTCTTTTGCCATGAGGCTTCTTGACTATCTTACAGTCTGATGCTGTTTCCCAGAAATCACTCACTGGCTGGAAGGTGTCAGGAATTGGACTGGACACATGTGGCTTCATTTAGAGCAGAGTAAACTGTGGCAAGCAGGCCCTGAACCAGAAGCAGAGTACTATTTTCTATTCCAATCTAAGATTGAGCCAGGGCTTCTTTTCCTGGCATCGCACCATTGATTGGTACTGCATGTGGTCAAATAAATGTCCCCCTCTTTTGCTTTAATGAAAACTTCTGGCATCAGATCTTCCTTCTTTCTGTTATATTGTATAGTTGCTTTTTGAATTACAGAGTAGAAACTGATCCTCGATGTTTTTATATTTCATCTTCTGGATTTTGGTCCCTAATACCATTTTATTGCTTGGGAGTTATTTTATAGTAATATTGTTGTTGTTTAAAAATTTACATCCTATTTTTCATTGAAATAGCTCCCAGCTCTCTGTGCTCACCTTATGTCTTCATTTACATCATTAATAAATTCTTACCAGAACAGGCATGACAACCCTGTGTAGAATCAGTGTAGCCTCCTCTCTTTTCTACCATTGATATTCTTTTGACACGATAATCAAATCATGTACAATGCACTTGAACTCTACCTCCTCCCCACCCACATTTCTTAATTTGGTTTGTAAGATAATTATGAGAGACATGTCAGATACTAGTTGAAATGAAAATATATTCAAATGAGGCTTTTTAAAAATAATATGCTTCAAATTTAAATTGTACCCTATCAATGCTTGCATTTCAGAAGATAGGTTAAAGAATAAATTAAGCTTATGTATTTTTCATGATAATTATGGAGGCAATTATTTGAATTGTAAAGTTCACTCACTATTTGATGCAAATTTACTTCATTTATAAATATGTATAATCCAGAAAAATTTATATTACTTTTCTATCAAGAGTATCAGTGCTAAAGAATATCATAGAATTTTATGGTCACTGTTAGGCATAATTTGTCATTATTGCTACTGCTCTCACTCAAATGCTATGTTTATCAAAGGATGTAGCTAGAACAGGTATTATTGACGTACATTATACACATTTACAAATCATTTCCAACTATGCTTAGTGATTTGTTCTACTTTATAAGCTACTTGATTGAGACTCAAATTACTTTAAGAAATGAGTATTCTTACATATGTGGTCACCTAAACATAATGGTGACACCAAAGGCTTTCRCCATTTCTTCTCTATTCCAGAGGTAAATGACATTCAGCTTTTAGGCACATACATATATTCATATGTGTATGAGTGGATGTGTGTATCTATACACATTCATATCTTTTGAGAGAAAATACTAATAATGTTTCCCTTTCTTTGCAGTTTTCAATAGGATACAGTAATTAGAAAAAAAGTCTATGAATTTAAAACAAAATTTTTATTGAACCACTGTCAGTAAGACTCTTATATTTTGGTTCCAAGTGTTTGAACATAAATTTACTATCATTAAGGTTATTTCAATGAAGTATAAAGTTTGTGGCAAGTCCTGTGTACTTTACTTGTAGATATAATGTCTTTAAGGATAACATTTAATTTTAGACAAATTATTAACATCTTGGTTTTCCTTAGCGAGTAAGCTACTGCTCTATACTTTGAAAAATAACCAACATTATAGGAACATGTTAATATTACTAACATTATTTTTATTAAGACATAAGGAATCTGAACAAATGATTTTTTTCTCTTTAATTCTTTGTGTGAATTTTTTCGTGAGCACAATAGGAATACAATACTTTGCAAGTACAACATCAGAATTCTGTTTGCAGTTTTTAGTTGATTATATCTTTTTGTTGTCTTTTAAGCCACCAAATCTTCATTTTAAACTATTAATTTTAATAAAATGTAATAGTAATGCTCTTCTAACAGTGTTTTGTGACAATATATATCTGGGATTTATACACTTCTTAACCTATTTCTTTTTTGAATATTTTATATGACGTTGATTTTCTTTCTTTTTCCTTTATTGACTCTTTGTAGTCCTGCAAGTGAAACATTTAGATGGCACATTTTGAAGTCTCACACACTATATACATCAACACAACTTTTAGAATTCAACTAACATTAAATGTTGACCTCATACTACAGCTGAGAGTGTGTTGGAGAATAGCATGGGGTTCTACCCACTAGAAGCCTAGAGGGTGTACAGCCCATGAGGACAGAAGGGGGCTAGGAGGGAACTAGGACATGTCAAGGGTAAGAAATTAAAAGGAGAGAGTTTGAAGATTTGTGGAGGGTTTAGCAGTTCTAAAATTTGGAACTAAGTCAGCAGAGAGATGTTGGATAAGAGAAGTGGTTGAAATTGGTACCTTTGAGAGGAAWCCCTTTATGAATAATTGAGAAGGTATTGGAAAGGAAAATTGGAAAAACAGTAATAAGGAAGTTAGAGGGTCAGTTGTGAGGAGGAAGAGGCAGCAATGCCTAATCTGGTGAAGGGTTAAGGACAGGAACTGGATGGAAACCTAGAGAAGTATCTTACTAAAAAGTGGAATATTTCAGGTAGCTGAGCATGTTCATGAATGTGAATGTGAAACTTCTCAAAAGTACTGGCATTGGTAAAAATTTAGAGATGTAGATTCTTTTAGGATTTTTTAATATTCCTAATAGAATCTCCCCAAATAAAAAGAAAATTTGAAATATTTAATATAACCTTGGGTTTTTCCTTTATAGTCACATTAAAAGCATGTCTGAATAATTTCAAAATTAAGTCTAGAACTTACCTTGGTAATTTTAGAAGACATCAGTCTAGAGGCCCTGGGAAAACAATTTATCAGTGAATTAGCTAGTTTCTGTCATGCACAAAAATTTGTGTGGCTCCACCAGATGACACTTACTCTTATATTATTATCTAATTGTAATCCTGAACAGAAATTTATTTTAAATCTCCCTTAACTTATCATTTGTTCCCCTCACTCCTGATCTCAAATTTTCCTCTTTGCCTGGTCCTGTCCTTTTCCTCCTTTAGGCAACATTCCTTTGACTGCCTCTTTCCAACATTTTGGGGCTGATTTCACAGTCTCTTGAAGTGCTTGCTGCAAGCTGTCTCTGGGGTAAAGATCCCTTGCCTTCTGAACAGCACAGAGAACATGAGCCTATCCATCAGGAGGTGTCCCTTTGCACTAACCAGACTTGGTGGCAAAATAACTGGGTCCCTTTCCTAGATGAGGTGGGATCCTGCAGAGGTATTAGCAGGACAGGGCCAGCAGCATGTCTCCAACACGAGCAGCATGAGGCTCTCCATGGAGGTCTCTGAACAGGCTCTGGGCCAGACCTGCCAGAATTTCAATCCCAGCTTGGCCACTCATTAGTGGTGTGATCTAGGATAAGTTCTGCAGCCTCTCTATGCCTGTTTCCCAATTTAGAAAATGGAAATAATAAAAATAATACCCAATAGGGCTGTTAGAAGGAGTATGCCAAGGCATGAGGTATATCATTACTTTCATACCAGCTGAGTGACCCACAGATGTTTGATGAAGGGAAAACAAAAATATAGCATCGTTATACAGGACTTGATTAAAGAAAGTGTATAATAAATAAATCAAGAGAATTTGTTGAAGTCGCTGTTTTCACTACTGCTTCACTGTACCCATTTTATTTGACTTTTACCTGAATTCTTACTTTCTCTGGATATCCATGCTATGTTTTAATTCCCTAGAAACTTCATGAGGCCCAGAGTTTATCCACTATGATATTAAAATTAAGCATATATAAAAGCTTACAAATGTAGAGTAGATGATTTCCTTTCCCTTAAAGAAGAGATGAAGATTGATGTCCTCATTGTGGAGTAGCCAAGGGCTTAATTTGTTTTATAAATAAATTGTGTTGATCATGTGTGAATTTACCAGGAGTTTCATAAATAACACCTTGTTTTCATCTATTAGTTTATTTTTGAATTTGTTTATATGCTTTACCTAAGATGAAACAAACAGTGACATAAATTATGTTTTAAAAATTATTGGGTTTATTGATCCCTATAGAAAAAAGTACATAAAAGTCATTGATTGCTMTGA